CCAGCTACTCGGGAGGGCTTGAGGCAGGAGGAGTTGCTTGAGCCCTGGAGTTGGAGGTTGCTGTGAGCTACGGCTGACACCATGGCCCTTCTGGCCCGGGGCAACCAAAGTGAGGACTCTGTCTCAAAAAAAAAAAAAAAAAAAGAAAAAGGAAACTGGACTCGAAGCCAAAACGATTGATGGATAACAACACCAATTTTTTTCTCTTCATATGTTCCGTAACACCAACAACCATTGAAACAAAGTAATATTTACTCCAGACTTTCTGTAAGTTCGTTTTGTAAGGTCATTTCCAGAAACCTATCAAGGGGAGGGGACGCTTGAAGCTTACTGGGTAAGAATGCAGCCAGGATTCTACTAGGGGCAGGCACCCCAAACGGCCTGGTTTCTTGCTGGCCTCAAGAGGGTTTCTTGGGTTGCTTTGGCCGAACAGGCCTGGACTCAGTTGAACAAATCCTGCTCCTAGAACATTCCTACCCAAATTGCTCAAAGGAACTTTTCATGTCTTAAAAAAGTTTTTGTTTTTTTAAATTAGATAGAGTTCTCCACTCTGTTGGCCGGGCTTAGGGAGTTGCCATGGGTCACGCCTCGCTCACAGGCAACCTCCAATCCTGGGCTCAAGCGAATCCTTCGCTCAGCCTCCCGAGTAGGCTGGGGAATTTACAGGCCACACGCCACCATTGCCTGGCTAATTTTTTCTATATCATATTAGTTGGCAATTAATTTGTTTTCTATTTATGTAGGAGACGGGTTCTCGCTCTTGCTTCAGGCTGGTCTCGAAATCCTGACTTGAGTTGATTTCCCGGCCTCGGCCTCCCAAGTGCTGGATGTGACAGGCGTGAGCCACCAGCGCCCGGCCCAAGCTTTCCTGGAAGATAGTTAGAGGCTCCTGGTTAAGTATCGAATGAGACCTTATTAAAGTTTGCCTTTGCGTCCCACTGCCACCCCTCCCAGATCCATTTTCCTTTCTTCCTATCAGTAACAAGAACCCTAAATTTGTTAGGTATTTGCACAATGGCACCCAGAACAAAGACTACATCTCCCAGCGTCCTTTGCACACTAGATGTTACACCCCTGACTTGGGCGCTAGCAATGGAACCATTGTGAGTGCATTCACCTTCCTCCCAAAACTTCAGCTCTTAAAGAGATAGGGTGGTTACTTCCTTTTTTTTTTTTTTTTTTTTTTTTATTCTCCTGTAGCCATTTGCTGTTTACTCCTGGAGAGCTGGAAGCCATTTCCTGGGACCAACTCCAAGAAGCAACCAACTTGAGGCATGTGGAGCAATAACAGACTGAGGCTGCTTGTTATACCAGCTTGACTGCCCAAGATTTATAGTGAGGGGGAGATTAACATCCATCTACTTATTAAAGCATTGTTATTATGTATTAACATCACACTTCGCTAAACTAAGATAACTACGGACAATTAAATGGCATTGTTTATTTTTTTTATTTGTATTTTAATTTTTTATTTCAGCATATTTATGGGGGTATAAATTTTAAGGTTCAAAATAACCTGCCTTTTATTATTTATAAAACACTTCTCACTTGTCAAGGGCTAAAACCTACACGATAACTAGAATTATAACGGCATTGTTTTTTTTTTTTTTTATTCTTTTTTACTTTTTTTTTTTTTTTTTTTTTTTTTTGAAGGACAAGAGTCTCACTTTGTTGGCCCAGGGCTAGAGTGATGTGCCGTGGCGGTCAGCCTCGCCACAGCAACCCTCCAACTCCTGGCTTTCAAAGCGATACCTCCTGCCCTCAGCCTCCCGGAAGTAGCTGGGGACTACAGGCATGCGCCACCATGGCCCGGGCTAATTTTATATTATTAATCAGTTGGCCAATTTAGTTTCTTTTCTATTATATAGTAGAGGACGGGTCTTCGCTTCTCTCAGGCTGGTTTATTGAACTCCTTGACCTTGAGCAATCTCGCCCGCCTCGGCCTCCCAGAGAGCTTAGATTAACAGGGTGAGGCCGGCGCCCAGCCTTTTTACTTTTTTATTCGACATATTATGGGGGTACCAAATTTCAAGGTTCAATAATGCTTGCCCCCTCTCCTCCCACAAGTCTAAGCTATAAATGTATTGGTTAACAGTGATTTTTTTTCTCTAATTTTAAAAAAAACAACAGTGATAGTATTTCTGAAAAAACTTCTTACCAAGGGCAAGCCTCAGTCAATCTCCCTTGTTCTAGCAATGCAGACCTTAACCCTATTAGCAAACTGGACCGGCATCTTCTTTTCCTGGTTTAAAAAAAAAAAAATACGTGTTACATCTGAAGTATAGCGTTTTTAATACCTTAAACGTCTTATAATCATTTTACATTTGTTTTAAATTTATAAGATCACATTTCAGCTCAAATACTTAGTACTCCTAGTCAATCCAAAGCAAATTCTCATTTTTGTAATAAGAAAATGCACTGCTGTATTTAACTATATTAATTTTTATTTCCTTTTTATTTTATTTTGTATACATTTTGTTTGATCATATGCTACGGCAGAATGTATTTAATTTTTATCACGAGCACGTATTTATTACACTCTTTATTCGTCTTATCCAAGAAACAACATTATATATATCTACGGTTCAATAAACCAACAGAGATTGTAAAACTCTTAGGGAAAAGTCTCTGGATGGAAAATGGCCTGATGGAAGAGAGCTAATCACAGTATTAAAAACTGACTCATTGCTGAGAAAGCAAACAGGCACGATGACGGAGAAGGGAGCACCCAGGGTTTCGAGGCAAAGGTTTCGTTGCCTCTGCTTGATTAGATAAAGTGCCCAGACCGCCGGCTGCTATCTAAGGCGCACCTCTCTGGTCATGGGGGGCATGTACCACACGTCGCACACAATGGCCCAGCTGGTCATCATTCGGAGCAGGTAGCTCACCATGTTGTATTTGCTGCTGTTCCAAAAGCGTCTCCAAACTGGGGGTTATACTGGGAACAAAGAACACAACACACTCTACGTGTTTCCCGAAAATAAGACAGGGTCTTGTATTTATTCTTTCTCAAGAAGACACCCCTAGGGCCTATTTTCGGGGAGACACGGTAGTCTTAGAGCTAAGCGGTGGCTTCTCATCCGTGTCAATGTTTTAGGGCGGCAGGCAAGTATCTTTATCAGACTCTAAGAAAAAGAGAAGCCGTTTTGCTTAATAGCATGGAGCAAAAAACGCAAATGACACAGCTAAACTCGACTGCTTCCCTATCTAGAGGCCCAGACAGAGCATGGCAGCAAGAGTGATTTCCGCGACTGTTAAATATCCGTCCCCACACTTCGCTGGAGGGTCCGTGGAGCACAGTACCCATCTTGCTTAGTCACTGCGTCCTCAGTACTTAGCACGACACCTGCACACGGCCCCCCGCCCGCAGCTGTCTACAGACCAGCAGAGAGAGGAGAAGAGAGCTCACATGGGGCAAAATGCAGACAAATGGTGAATCTGAGTATAAAGAGTATACAAAAGGGCTCTCGTTCTGCAAAGTTTAAGTTGAACATCATACTGAAAAGAAAGTTACCCGTCCAATGCCTTTTTTTGTTTGTTTTCTTTTGTTGGCATCTGTTTTACCTTAATTGCAACCGTGTATGGTTCCTCCGATTTCAAAGCTCCCCTTTTTAAACATCATGACGGACGTTTGTTGATACAGGTCCCTGCGGGAGGGTGGGGGTGGGGCAGTGCATATTTATAAAAGCAGTCGTTTTTTTAAATAAATTAAAAGTAATTATTTTGATATAAATGTATACAGAATATCAAAGTTACAGACTTACAATACCATTTCACAATCAAATCCCTGCTTACGTAGTAATTCTAACATTTCTAAACAAGCTTAACAACAAAGTTTTCCTTTTCATCAAACACTCTGTGAGTACAAGTGACAATTTCATACATTTAAAATAGATCCTGGCCTGGTACCGAGGCTCACGCCTATAAACACCTAGCACTCTGGAGGCCGAGGCGGGAGGATCCTTTGAGCTCGGGAGTCAAGACCAGCTGAGCACAGAGCGAGACCGCATCTTACTAAAAAAAAAAAAAAAATAGAAAAAAATTAGTTGGACAACTAAAAATAATATTAGAAAAAAATGGCCGGCATGTGGGCGCATGCCTTTAGTCCTGGCTACTTGGGAGCTGAGGCAGGAGGATCGCTTGAGCCAGGGGTTGGAGGTTGCTGTGAGCGAGGCTGACGACATGGCCACTCTGCCCGGCAACAGAGTGAGACTGTGTCTAAAATAAAATAAATAAATAAAATAATAATAAATCAGGATCCTTAAAAAGTCATGGCATCATTGTCCTGAGTTCATGACCCAGAAATGATTTTGAAGTCAAGTAAGGTAGCATGACTTTCCATCAAATCGCAAAGAAAGCAGGGAATTAATAGCTCAGAGAAGGCCGTCCCTTTCCTGGAAGACAGCACAGAATTTGGACTGAAAAATGCCAATTCTAGAACAATTTTATTCATCATACGCTTCTGGTGGTTTGCTGTTACCCAACCACAGCTTTGGTAGCGTGCCGGCTTACTTCGGGAAAGATTAATATGGGCAATTTCTCTTATCCGCGATAGTGTTCTTTTAGTCTGCGAAGAAAAATAAAGGATCAAAATTCTACCTTTAAAAAAGTAGGTGGAAGGTCCTTTCAATATTTTGTGCTCTTCCTAGCACAAATATAATTTTAAAGCAATAAGGAGAAAATTATAAATAAGATATAAATAGAGAAATAAACTCAAGTTGTTCCCTTTCTAAAAAAGTATGAGGAGATCTGCACAGTTTCAATCTCTAATTTCAAAGTGAGTGGCTGCTGCCTGCTCTTAAGAAAAGACTACTAGGCCGGGCGCGGTGGCTCACGCCTGTCATCCTAGCACTCTGGGAGGCCAAGGCGGGAGGATCGCTCAAGGTCCGGAGTTCGAGACCAGCCTGAGCAAAATCGAGACCCGTGTCTACTAAAAATAGAAAGAAAGTAATTGGACAACTAAAAGTATATGTAAAATAAATTAGCCAGGCGTGGTGGCGCATGCCTGCAGTCCCAGCTACTCGGGAGGCAGAGGCAGGAGGATTGCTTGAGCTCAGGAGTTGGAGGTTGCTGTGAGCGAGGCTGACTCCATGGCACTCACTCTAGCCTGGGCAACACAGTGAGACTCATGTGTCTCAAAAATAAATAATAAATAAGACACTCGGCAAAAAGCTGGGCTCGGTTTTCAGCAATTTTCCTGGTAGCTCAGCTCAGCCTCCAAGCCCGGAGGCTCCTTCTTTCACCGCTCTTTCCCTAGCTGGATCCAACTGATGATGGTCATCCAACAACACAGCACCAACCATCTGTTTGTTTAGCAAACGGTTATCAACGATTTAACCTCCAAGGGGATAATCTTTAACCTTGAAATGTCAGAGACTGCACCATACCTAAGGCACAGCAATATACCTTGTTTCCCAGAAAATAAGCCCTCCCCATACAATAAGTCCCAGCAGGATGTCTGAGCATGTGCACAACAGAAGCCCTACCCCATTCTAGAGCTACTAAAAATTATACAAAAAAAAAAAAGTAGAAAAAAAAAAAAAAGAAGCCTACCCTGAAAATCAGCCTAGTGATGGGCTGGCTATGAAAATCACCCCTGGTGGTGGGCGTGGCTATGAAAATCAGTCCTAGTGATAGGTGTGGCTATGAAAATCAGCCCTAGTGGTGGGTGTGGCTGCGCAGCGCATCTGCACAACCCATGCGTGTCGTCCCGGAGTGGGAAGAGAACAGGAGCAGCCCTTTCTCCGCCCCGTGAGAGCTCTATGCTCGCAGAGAAGATCGGGGCCAACAGCTCTAAAGGAAATAGAGTCCAAGACATTCAGGATGGGATTTGGGGTTGGAGAGTGAGGATGACTTCATTGTGTTTGAATCAATGTAGATGGTTGTACCATACTTAAAAAAAAAACAAACCACATCCCCAGAAAATAAGCCCTAGAGTTCTTCTTGAGGAAAAAAAATAATAGAGATCCTGTCTTATTTTGGGGGAAACATGGTAGACATACATGCCTTTTAATCCCATCACAAATTCCTCTATCACTACAGAATTAAAATTTTTTAAAATCCAGCTGAGGCCGGGCGCGGTGGCTCACACCTGTCATCCTAGCACTCTGGGGGCTGAGGCAGGAGGATCGCTCAAGGTCAGGAGCTTGAGATAATCCCTGAGCAAGAGCGAGACCCTGCCTCTACTAAAAATAGAAAGAAATGAGCTGGGCATGGTGGCGCATGCCTGTAGTCCCAGCTCCTTGGGAGGCTGAGGCAGGAGGATGGCTTGAGCCCAGGAGTTTGAAGGTTGCGGCGAAGCTATGATGACACCACTGCACTCCGGCCTGTCTCCAACAAAAAGATTTACCAGCTTTTGTGCTACCCAAGTGAACACTGAGTACGTCACTGCTTACCTCTTAGTAACCAGGTGTCGATCCTTCATTTCTGAGCGTTCAAACCAGACATGTGGACAAGCCTTGACCATAGCTCTCTGAATAATTCCCATCAACCCACCGTGAACCTGGCCAACCTAGAAGTACCATGACAGAAAGAGAAAAATATAAAGGCACAGTTATCCAAAGACAGATTTTTTTTTTTAAGTACCAATAGATTTCTATTCCCACAGATCAGATTTGGCCTTCTTTGTTCTTAGCCTGCTCAAAGGACTTGAACGCCAAATGTAAGCAAAAGGTACTCTTTAGCCGCACCTTTCAATTTCAAGTTGCATTGCTGCATTAGCTAGCCTCTACCTTTAATAAGTAGGGGTCCTTCAACTTAGTCAAGATTAGAGAAATAGAAATTATAACTACACTTTTTTTTTTGATACAGAGTCTCACTCTGTTGCCCGGGCTCAAGTGCCATGGCATCAGCCTCGCTCATAGCAACCTCAAATTGCTGGGCTCAAGCGATCCTCCTGCCTCAGCCTCCCGAGCAGCTGGGACTATAGACATGTGCCAACATGCCCGGCTAATTTTTTCTGTATATTTTTAGTTGGCCAACTAATTTCTTTCTACTTTTAGTAGAGACGGGTTCACTCTTGCTCAGGCTGGTCTTGAACTCCTGACCTTGAGCAATCCTCCCGCCTCTCGCCTCAGCCTTCCAGGCGTGAGTACAGCTACACTTTAATGCCTTTTCAAACCCATCCCATTGGCAAAGGTGGCTAAAGCTTCCTTAGGTTCAGAAAGAACTCTATTACTTAGAGAGGTTTCATAACGTGTTAAAATAAAGTTGTCCAGGAGTTATGTATCTGCATCTGTATTTTATTTTATTTTATTTTTTTCAAAGAAGATGGACATTGGATGCATCTGTATTTTAGATAGATGAAACACATGGCAATAAGTGGAAATTTTTACAGAGGGCTTCAATAACCCCTCAAGGACCGTACAACCCACAAATAGTCAAACACCTGCCCATGGGCCAGCTGTCCCCACCCCCCTCCTCGAAGCAGGGACTCCCCTCAAACGCCTTCCCAGAAAAACACACCAGAGCACACCGTGACTATCAATTCCTGGAGCTGGTAAGGGAGATAAAAGCCGCCTGCTGTCCCTGAGTCCCAACCCGCCACCACGGGACTATGAGAAGAACATTCCCCTGGGACCCCTGGCCAGTCATTCTGCTCCACACACTAACTCGAGGTATTTAATCATCCTGCATCTTCTGTCATTTTGCAGAATTTACCTGACATACATAAAGGTGAGGTAGGAAATGTTGACAAATTTGTAAGGGCCACAGAAAACAAATATTTGCCTTCTTGCTAGAGCCTCATTAAAGAGCTAGATTTTTTTTTTTTAATTGCACATAATTGCCTGAAGGAACAGAGATAATTGGCTGGCTAGGGGATTTGTACAACTCCCAGGAGTAAGAATGTAACGTTGCAAAACATTATTAAAAACACTGCCCAGGATTTTTACAAGAAAGAATGGAATGAATCGACTTCACAAGGTCCTGTCAACCTCAAGTATGTCCTCATTTCAGCAAGTTAATTTTTTACTACTTTAAATATAATGGCGATTTTCTTTCCTTTCCTTGCACTATGTATTTCTCATGTAAATATATTATATAACTCATATAGCTACAACATATAATATATGCAATAATATATATATGGCTATAGTATAACCCAGTTGAATTTCTAATGTAACATCAGCTTTCCAACTTGTGCCAAAATACAAGTTTGAGCAATGCATAAAACATGCAACCACCTGCGGTATCAGCGAGCTGCTCTTACCATTGCGTAGCATCCGTCTGTTGTCAAGATTAACACGTCTATTGGGGAGGTGTGGTTGGCGATGCAAATGCCTCCCTTCTGGGGTCTGTACTGCCTGCAATCAACGACAAACAACGGCAAACGCTAGACCTTGAAAAGTAGCCACTATTTCGCAGAACAGCCTAAAGAGACTCATCTTGTTTTTTTAAGCATATTTTTAAAAATACAGTTCGGTGGTACGTGGGCCCATCTTTAAAAGGTTATCTCTAGGCCGGGCGCGGTGGCTCACGCCTGTCATCCTAGCACTCTGGGAGGCCGAGGCGGGAGGATCGCTCGAGGTCGGGAGATCGAGACCAGCCTGAGCAAGAGCGAGACACTCTGCCGCTTACTCTGTACCTGATCCCAAACCACCAACCCCAGGGCTCCGCTCCGTCCCCTGTACCATGAGAGAGCAGTGTCTGTCACTCAGCGGTCATGACCTCTCAGAAGCACAGGGTAGATAGATGCTCAATTATTAAGCACCACTGCATGCTTCCGGTGACATTCCTTCAGCAAACAGAGCTCTTTGGATTCAGTGATTTCTTTGGTGCATTTTAAGACACGCCGAGCAGTAGGACGAACCCTGGGAAACACTCGGAGTCCACCTGCTTCCTCCCACTCGCTCCCCACGACACTCTCCCATCCCCACCGGGTGTCCCTAGGGACAGGCGGGCAGGGGGCGGCGGACACTCACTTGTTATGGTAACGGATGGTCCCAGACAGGGCTCGCACGCAGATCCGGCAGCAGGTCAGGTGGACCAGCTCGCTCAGCCTGGTTTTGAGGCTGGAGGAAAAAGAAAGC